CCATATCACAAAGGGAAGGCTGTAATTGATTTTGGGGGTAATTGCCTCAAAATTGTAAGAATTAGGGGCCAAAAAAGGGGCAAAAAACAAGCATTTTTCTAGTTTCATGACAATAACTTGTGTGTAAGTGTTTGGATATTTCTGAAATTGTACTACAAGGTTCCATATCACAAAGGGAAATGCTGGAATTGAGTTTGGGGGTAATTGCCTGAAACGTTTAGGAATTGGGGGCCAAAAAGGGGCCAAAAATAAGCATTTTTCTAGTTTCCAGACAATAACTTGTGTTCAAGTGTATGGATCTCTCTGAAATTGTACTGCAAGGTACCATACCACAAAGGGAAGGCTGGGATTGAGTTTGGGGGTGATGAATTATAAGGGGGTTCAAAGAATTTGGGGGGGGGGGATTTTTTTTTTTTCTTTTTTTTTCTTTTTTTCCTTTTTTTTTTCTTTTAAAATTTTCCATTTTAAGTTGGTTATTTCTGATTAATATTTAAAAGCAAATTATAATGATATGGTAGGAGATACACACCAAACAGGATGTGTAAATTATTATATAATAAGTATTGTGCAATAGCAAGAAATTTTCAATTGCACAGTATTGCACAATAGCAAGAAATCTTCAATTGCACAGTATTGCGCAATAGCAAGAAATCTTCAATTGCACAGTATTGCGCAATAGCAAGAAATATTCAATAGCACAATATTGCGCAATAGCAAGAAATTGTCAATTGTACAGTATTGCGCAATAGCAAGAAATATTCAATTGCACAGTATTGTGCAAAAGAAGATACTTCGTATAAATTGCTTATTTCTTGATCAATTTCAATGGGGTTTTATTCTTGAATTCTTGGGGTCTTTAATATGCTGAATCTAACCGTGTATTAAGTTTTTGGATTTTGGGCCCCATTTTCAAATTGGTCCACATTGAGGTCCAAAGGGTCCAAAATTTAACTTTGTTTGATTTCATCAAAAATTGAATTATTGGGGTTCTTTGATATACCGAATCTAACAGTGTATTTAGATTCTTAATTTTTGGTTCCGTTTTCAAATTGGTCTACATTAAGGTCCAAAGGGTCCAAAATTAAACTTAGTTTGATTTTAACAAAAATTGAATTTTTAGGGTTCTTTGATATGCCGAATCTAAACATGTATTTAGATTTTTGATTATGGGCCCAGTTTTCAAGTTGGTCCAAATCGGGGTCCAAAATTAAACTTTGTTTGATTTCAACAAAAATTGAATATATGGGGTTCTTTGATATGCTGAATCTAACCATGTATTTAGATTTTTGATTTTTGGGCCCCGTTATCAACTTTGTCCACATTGAGGTCAAAAGGGTCCAAAATTAAACTTTGTTTGATTTCATCAAAAATTGAATTCTTGGGGTCTTTGATATGCTGAATCTAACCATGTTTTTAGATTTTGGATATTGGACCATAATAGGTGAATGTCCAATTTAAAATTTTTAAGTTCTTAGACCACATTCATTCTGTGTCAGAAACCTATGCTGTGTCAAATATTTAATCACAATCCAAATTCAGAGCTGTATCAAGCTTGAATGTTGTGTCCATACTTGCCCCAACTGTTCAGGGTTTCGACCTCTGCGGTTGTATCAAGCTGTGCCCTGCGGAGCATTTTATTACAATAGCAGTGACAGTATGAACATAGATATTATTGCTTTATACACAGTGGAGAATTTACTGTTGAAATTTACTATGTTAAAGTTATTTATTTTTTGGAATACAGTGATGTTTACTGTAGAGTATAAATGCATTTCAACTTTTTATATATTTACACACCAAATGTTCACATTGGAGACAGCAGTACAAACAAACAGTCAATACCACCCCAGAATCTAACAGTTGTTTATAGCTGTGTACTTTGAACTTTAGACAAACACATCAAAAGAATTATTAAATATATAACTGAATGTAACATGTATTCAATGATGGGAGCTTCAGGCATGAGAAAGAATTATTTATTAACTGCATAACTGAACAGTGGCATTTTATTCAAAAATCTTTTTAGAAAAATTTATCATATTTGAGTATTAAATATAGTTTTATAGCATTATCATGCCTGTATTTCAGTACCAGTTATGATAGACCTTGGCTTAAATCTACTAGCACATTGGGCTATCCCTAACAGACCTTACACACTAACAGCTACAGATGAGACACCAAGTCTCACCCCCTTTTGGAGACCCCTCGCTCCACATTCCCAAACTGGCATATTGCCATACAGACAGTTTCTTGCTCTCTGAATTACAATTTAACTGAATGCATCTCTCATGATGTTCAAATCTATATGAATCAATCTAGCTAGCTAGTAGTTCTCAGTTCAAAAACTTTGATATTGAATACCAATTTTATAGCATTCTCATCATTGAATTACTGATAATAATTTTTATAGCAATCTCATCATTAAATTACTGATAATTATTTTATAGCATTCTAATGTTAGAACTTTGATATTGAATACCATTTTATAGCATTCTCATCATTGAATTACTGATAATAATTTTTATAGTAATCTCATCATTGAATCACTGAATATCTTTTTATAGCTTTCTCATGTTAGAACTTTGAATATCATTTTTTTATGGCATCTCTTTTACACTATATTGTAAATAGTATGTCTTGTTGTGTACATGTACATGTATATTATCTTTTTTTTTTTTTTTAATATTTTTTTTTTTATTCTCATGACATTATTGAAAGTTATAATTATCCAAAATCCTTGGGGGTACTCATCTGTAACCATCTGAGTTTTTGGACCTTGATGGAATTTGATCTCTGGTCATTTCTAAAATTTCATTCATCCCCAAGCATTTCGGGGAAAATTTTATCAAATTTATTCCAGCACCAGATTGATAGACCCTGCTACTTGCTACTTGTAATAGCACCACATGGGCTATCCCCCATGCAGACCTTGCACACCCCGGCTGCAGATGAGACGCCTAGTCTAATCCCCTTCGTGGAGACCCCTCGCTTCACATTCCCGGCTGGCGTATTGTCGGGCAGGCAGGTTCTTCCTCACACTACAGGTTGCAATTTGACTTGCTTGGCAGGAACTCCTAAATTCTTAATTATGCTGAGTGTTTCTCAAGGGCCAAAATATTTTGTTATTGAATTTATTTTATTAATAAATATTATTCATTTGAAAGTTCTGTCTGCTTTGAGCCAGTATGATTTATTGGGACTATGTTTTGGTTTACACACAGATACCCCCTTTCACACTTATGCTAACATTAAATTATTTGGGAGTTGGTTTAGATCTACAATGCTCAATTTCACTGATGGTGAGTTTATAAAATTTTGACTAAATTTTTTACAATTTACTTTTAACTTAAAACTCACCATTGGGGACTTTGTGGATTGTGATATTATATTTGAGCTTGGCTTTCAAGAGAGTTACATCAGAACTAAGAAAACATTTGATCTACAAGGATTTGATTCATTACCATACAAACAGAATAAAAAAAAAATATGCATATTTACATACCAGGAGACATTTACAGATAATAAAACACCACCTGTATGAAATATTCCACACAGAATGTACACGGAATATAGTAGGAATATTGCATTGAATTCCTACCAGAAAAGAGTGATATTCTAGTCAGACAGTAGTAGGAATCCACACGGAAATTAATAGCCGAAATATTTAAATTAGCAGGAATTTCTTAGTAGGAATATTGTATATTCCTACCAGGAATATTTAAATTAGCAGGAATAATTTGGCGGGAAAATAAAATTCCTACTAGAAAACCTGCTAGGAATTTTTCAAAATTCCACATAGAAAAAAATATTTTCTAGTAGGAATCTAAAAATATACAAAATGTAAGTGTATATTCACAAATACACAACTGGGTCAATCATTTAAGTTTGAATCTCAACAACAAAAAACAAAGGAAATGCATGGAATATATTCATTTAAAAAAAGTTGACTTTTGAAATGTATGAGGAAGCTGTGATATATCCAAACATATATGTAGATGGATAAAAATGTTGATTCTAAGTTGAAATTAAAAATTATGAAAAATTAATAAGTAAAATTATGCACTATTGTTGAATTAACTGAATACTAAATATATTGGCAAACAGATAAAAAATTTCATCTTAAAAGTATAAAATTTACCTTCAATCTACATGAGCCATATTTTCTCCTATTTCAATATTGTAGTTGTTTAACCCTTGCAGCATATTGTGTTCCAACACAACTTTTCATTCTTCTACCCTTCAACTTTTGAATTTGTGAACTGGAACTTGTTTGCATTTAACACAGCAAAATTTGTGTCATTAGCAAACAAGAATCAAGTTTAAGATAATTAAAAAGATTCCATGTAGAAAGATTTTCTAGTAGGAATAAATTAATTCTGGTAGGAATCTTGTAGTAGGAAAATGAATAATCTTATCATATTTTCTGTCCAAATTCCCACTTAAGATTTTCAAAACAGAAAAAAATCCAGACTTTTAGAATTCCAGCTAGATGGTAGGATTTTGCAAGTGGAGAAAATAAAAAATCCAGTCAGAATTTTGTTCATTTTCCATGTCCACCTACTTTCTATATATAATCTTTGATTCTAGGTGGATTCCTACTACATTCCTACTAGTGTCTAGGTGGAATCCTACTACTTATTTCGTACGGGCACCAATAAAAACCTTCAAAAGTATGTTTACATTATGGGACAACAATTAACACAGCACAAAAATTCACACCATACACAACTACAAAGACAATATTGTTTGTATAAATACCAAAATAGAGTTTTTACCCCAATTTCACAGTCCACTGAAACATAGAAAATGATAGTGCAAGTGGGGCATCCGTGTACTGTGGACATATTCTTGTTTAATTTGCATTTAAATGTCTAAAAGAAATGCACTACGAAATAACTGTGTTCTTGAGCCATTTATACAGTGAGCTAGAAGTCTCTAAAAGAATACCAGGTGAGAAAATGTTGACTTTCATTGTTTATATGGTTCTATTTACTTTACAGACACAGTATAGTTAGCTCAGACAGTGACATGGAACAGGTGGAGTTAAGTTCCAGTGCAACATCACCAGGGTTTTCACAGATTCACTCAAACTTCATGTACCTGACCATTCAGACAGATGAAGTTGAAGAAACATGGAAGTCACATGTTGCTAAGGTCATGTCTGAGTCTTCTGCCCTGCTAACGCTTAATACAACTCATATCTTTCCTAAACTATACAAGGTTAGTTTTATGTCAATACTCATCATACTATTACAATATAATTGTGTAAATGAATTTAGTGAAATCAGTGTAATTATTAAAGTTTTCATCGTGAAAGTCGAAAGTATGATAAGGCGTGACTTTTTGACCTTGAACTTCAAAAAATCAAAAATTATTATAAATCTACCAAATGACATCCTGCAGATGTTGATAAGACATTAGTCTGACAGCCATGAGTAATTTAGTTTTGAATGGTGTCTTAAATATTTGCATTAAGGCTTCAAACAGTCAAACTTCTTGAACTTAGTGCAAAAACTGCCAAAGTAGGCTCTTTTATGAGCTTTATCCAAAAAGATATTTTACTACAAAATATATTTATGAAGATGTTAATGTATGAAAAATATACCTTTTGGTAAACCCTAGGTTCCTATCTATGTTATGTTTAAAAAAAACTATTTTTATGATGTTTTAGTGACATCTCAAGTTACCTACAAATAAGTATCTAGATTATATTAACCTGTTAATCATTTAACAATAAAATTAACCTGATTTTGAAAGTCTTGAATGATTGATCTATTTTTATACGACCACAAAAAAATTTTGCAGTCGTATATTGGTATGACTTTGGCATCGTCGATGTCGTCCGGCGTCCTCGTCGTCCGAAGACACATTGGTTTTCGCACTCTAACTTTAGTTTAAGTGAATGGATCTCTATGAAATTTTACCATAAGGTTCAATACAACAAAAGAAGGTTGGGATTGATTTTGGGGGTTATGGTACCAACAGTTAAGAGTAAGGGGCCAAAAATAAGCATTTTTGTAACTTCCAGACAATAACTTGTGTGTTAGTGTTTGGATCTCTCTGACATTGTACCACAAGGTTCCATATCTCAAAGGGAATTACCTCAAAATTTAAGGAATTAGGGGCCAAAAAAGGGACAAAAAACAAGCATTTTTCTAGTTTCATGACAATAACTTGTGTGTAAGTGTATGGATCTTTCTGAAATTGTACTACAAGGTTCAATATCACAAAGGGAAAGCTGGAATTGAGTTTGGGGGTAATTGCCCAAAACGTTTAGGAATAAGGGGCCAAAAATAAGCATTTTTCTAGTTTCCAGACAATAACTTGTGTTCAAGTGTATGGATCTCTCTGAAATTGTACTGCAAGGTACCATACCACAAAGGGAAGGCTGGGATTGATTTTGGGGGTAATTTCCTCAAAATTTTAGGAATTAGGGGCCACAAAGGGGCAAAAAACAAGCATTTTTTCTAGTTTCAGGACAATAACTTGTAAGTGTATGGATCTTTATGAAATTGTACTACAAGGTTCCATATCACAAAGGGAAAGCTTGGTTTGAGTTTGGGGGTAATTGCCTTAAACGTTTAGGAATTTGGGGCCAAAAAGGGGCCAAAAAACAAGTATTTTTCTAGTTTCCAGACAATAACTTGTGTTCAAGTGTATGGATCTCTCTGAAATTGTACTGCAAGGTACCATACCACAAAGGGAAGGCTGGGATTGAGTTTGGGGGTGATGAATCATAAGGGGGTTCAAAAAATTGGGGGGGGGGTTCCTTTTTTTTTCTTTAAAATTTTCCATTTTATATTGGCTATTTCTGATTTATATATAAAAGCAAATAATGATGATATGGTTTGAATCGGTAAATTTAAATTTTTTAAGTTCTTAGACCACATTCATTCTGTGTCAGAAACCTATGCTGTGTTAAATATTTAATCACAATCCAAATTCAGTGCTGTATCAAGCTTGAATGTTGTGTCCATACTTGCCCCAACTGTTCAGGGTTCAACCTCTGCGGTCGTATCAAGCTGCGCCCAGCGGAGCATTTTATTGAGTTTGCCTTGGAGTTTGGTATTTTTGTTACATTTTTTACGCGGAGGGGGCATTAAGTTTTACCCTTGTCTGTACGTACATCCGTACGTCCCGAAATTGGTTTCTGTTCTGTAACATTAGTTTGCCTGAACTAAATGTTATGAAACTTATACACAAGGCTTATTACCTCTAAACACAGATCAAGTTTGAATTTGGGTGGCGTCACTTTTACAGTTCTAGAGTTATGCCCCTTTACAAATGGAAAAGTTGCTGAATTTTTTGTTTCCGTTCTCTAAAGTTTGCCTCATGCAAATATTATGAAACTTATACACAAAGCTTATTACCACAAAACACAGATCAAGTTTGAATTTGGGTGACGTCACTTTTACCTTTCTAGAGTTATGCCCCTTTACGATGGAAAAATTGCTGAATTTTTCATTTCTGTTCTCTAACTTAAGTTTGCCTCGACTAAATGTTATGAAACTTATACACAATGATTATTACCGTTCTTGAGTTATGTATCTAAATAACGTTATATGAAAGCACGGGCATCATCTGTGTCCCATGGATACATTCCCCATTTATTTTAGAATAGGACACAGATCTGAGGAAAGGACATAGATCTGAGGCTTACATATAATATAAATAATGTAAGAATATTTCTTATCTATAATAATGTAAGAATATTTCTATTCAACCTTCAGAGAAATTAATTATTTAATGAATTGTGTAGTGATTTTTCCTGCTCAAAGGCCTCTGAGAGATATACATCTGCTTTATTATTGATAGCCAATCATGACAGTCATGACTTTCTAATTGATTTGGTAAAATGGTCTTTATAATATAACAACTGATCCTTATATTTGGACACCTTGTCAAAAGGAGTCAGTAATCAGTTACATTCATGTCTTTCTTTATTTTAGGAACTAAGACGTCGTTTGGATACCATGACAAAGGAAGCTTGTTATTATATTGCCAAGACAGATTCTTTAAAACACATAGCGACACAGTTAAATATCCTTTTGTCAATATAACAGGAAGGTGAAAAATATGATCATTAGACTTTCAAGCTTTGGAGTTTGTATATCAAAATATGAATTAATTAGATACCATGCTTTAATATTTAGCATTTTAGGTTTCTTAGATACTATGAGCAATAGGTCAACTATTTTTGATGTATGGAATGATTGTAAGGTGTAGAGTCCTTTTGGTAGAGTTCATCTGACCTTGACCTCATGGTTCATTGATTAGAATTGGTTAATGGAGAAAATTCATTCAGGTGGAAGGATACCTGACTAATTTAATATTGAACTATTAATAGTAAATTTAAGTCAGTTAGGTGTGGGCATTTGTTTCAGGTTGGAGAATTCATTTTGACTTTGTTCCTTTGCTTTTATTTTTGTTAATAAATAAATACACAATATCCCTTCATTCCATTAAGAATTGTATATGATCCTTAACTTCCAAACGACAGGTATTAGATATGACGTTTCTCCACATGGAATGTCCATTCTTCTTCTGTGACAGTGAAACAGTAAGTTTACAACTTTGGAGGCCTTTATTTCTTTTAAACTAGAAAACTTTTAAAAATTGCTCTAATTTATTATGAAATTAAGCATCAATTTTACAAGATTGTCAGCCACATCTTTTTTGTTTATGTACAAACACTTGATTTCTTAATGTGATAAATATTCATCTGTATGAGTAATGGGATATGGGGTATTTTTCAATGAGATGCAACCAAACAACACAATGTTACCAGACATCTGGTAGTCAACTGAAGTCAACTGAAGTTTTCGACAACAACCAATATTCACTGGTGTAGGAGCCAGGGGGATCAAAGGGTACAAGTATAATTACACCCCCCCCCCCCCTTTTTTATTGCCACAGAATTATTTTTTTTTTTGCTTATCACTTTCAAAACAAAGGACAAAACAGATACAATTAAGTCTGCCTCATATCTTGACTTACATCTAGAAATTGACAATTAAGTTCGGTTGAAAACAAAACTTTATGACAAAAGAGATGATTTATGCTTCCTAATTTTGATCTCTCCATTTCTATGCTCCTGCATAAGGAGAATATATCTCCCAGTTGCTACTATATTCCAGAGCTTGCATTTCCTATCATGATTTCCTTGATAGAGGGTTGCTACTTACAAGGAAGCTATTAAACCAAAAGTTCCAAAAGGTATCCCTTCGAAAATTTAACACACACCATCATTTGTTTGACCATTATGGAATAAACGACAGATATGTTCCACCTGTTGTAACCACAATCACGTTTTCTTTTCCTGGAATGTGACCTACCGAATTAAACTTATCACCTTTTTTGTACTTACATGAGCAACACGGCGGGTGCCTCATGTGGAGCAGGGTCTGCTTACTCTTCTGGAGTACCTGAGATCACCCCCTGTTTTCGATGGGGTTAGTGTTGCTCAGTCTTTAGTTTTCAATGTTGTGTTTAGTGTACTTTTGTTTGTCTGTTGGTTTTTGTCGAGCCTGCGACTTTTTTCGCAGAAAGCTCAACATAGGGATAGTGATCCGGCGGCGGAGGCGTTAGCTAAATTCTTAAAAGCTTTATATTTTAGAAGCTAGAAGACCTGGATGCTTTATACTTTGTATATATATGCCTTATGTTACGAAGTTTCCGTCTGTCATATGTTCATTGTCCTGGACCTCATTTTCATAGTTCAGTGACTACCGGTACTTGAAAAAAAAGTCAACATTTTTGTTGAGCCTGCGACTTTTGTCGCAGAAAGCTCGACATAGGGATAGTGATCCGGCGGCGGCGGCGTTAGCTTACTTCTTAAAAGCTTTATATTTTAGAAGGTGGAAGACCTGGATGCTTCATACTTTGTATATGGATGCCTCATGTTACGAAGTTTCCCTCAGTCACATGTCCAATGTCCTTGACCTCATTTTCATGGTTCAGTGACTACTTGAAAAAAAAATTCTCTCTTATTATAAGTAGTAGGATAACTATATTTGGTATGTGCGTACCTTGCAAGGTCCTCATGCCCGTCAGACAGTATTCACTTGACCTCGACCTCATTTCATGGATCAGTGAACAAGGTTAAGTTTTGGTGGTCAAGTCCATATCTCAGATACTATAAGCAATAGGTCAAGTATATTCGGTGTATGGAAGGACTGTAAGGTGTACATGTCCAACTGGCAGGTGTCATCTGACCTTGACCTCATTTTCATGGTTCAGTGGTTATAGTTAAGTTTTTGTGTTTTGGTGTGTTTTTATACGACCGCAAAAAAATTTTTGTGGTCGTATATTGGTATGACGTTGGCGTCGTCGTCGTCATCGTCGTCCGGCGTCGTTCGAAGACACATTGGTTTTCGCACTTTAACTTTAGTTTAAGTGAATGGATCTCTATGAAATTTTACCACAAGGTTCAATACCACAAAAGGAAGGTTGGGATTGATTTTGGGGGTTATGGTACCAACAGTAAAGGAATTAGGGGCCAAAAAGGGGCCAAAAATAAGCATTTTTGTAACTTCCAGACTTAACTTGTGTGTTAGTGTATGGATCTCTCTGACATTGTACCACAAGGTTCCATATCACAAAAGGAATGCTGGGATTGATTTTGGGGGTAATTGCCTCAAAATTTTAGGAATTAGGGGCCAAAAAAGGGGCAAAAAACAACCATTTTTCTAGTTTCATGACAATAACTTGTGTGTAAGTGTATGGATCTTTCTGAAATTGTGCTACAAGATTCCATATCACAAAGGGAAAGCTGGAATTGAGTTTGGGGGTAATTGCCGAAACGTTTAGGAATTGGGGGCCAAAAAGGGGCCAAAAATAAGCATTTTTCTAGTTTCCAGACAATGACTTGTGTTCAAGTGTATGGATCTCTCTGAAATTGTACTGCAAGGTACCATACCACAAAGGGAAGGCTGGGATTGATGATGGGGGTAATTGCCTCAATATTTTAGAAATTAGGGGTCAAAAAGGGGCAAAAAACAAGCATTTTTCTAGTTTCAGGACAATAACTTGTGTGTAAGTGTATGGATCTTTCTGAAATTGTACTACAAGGTTCCATATCTCAAAGGGAAAGCTGGGTTTGAGTTTGGGGGTAATTGCCTTAAACGTTTAGGAATTTGGGGCCAAAATGGGGCCAAAAAACACATTTTTCTAGTTTCCAGACAATAACTTGTGTTCAAGTGTATGGATCTCTCTGAAATTGTACTGCAAGGTACCATACCACAAAGGGAAGGCTGGGATTGAGTTTGGGGGTGATGAATCATAAGGGGGTTCAAAAAATTTTGGGGGGGGATTTTTTTTTTTTTCATTTTTTTTTTCTTTTAAAATTTTCCATTTTAAGTTGGTTATTTCTGATTTATATTTAAAAGCAAATAATAATGATATGGTAGGAGATACACACCAAACAGGAAGTGTAAATTATTATATAATAAGTATTGTGCAATAGCAAGAAATTTTCAATTGCACAGTATTGCACAATAACAAGAAATCTTCAATTGCACAGTATTGCACAATAGCAAGAAATCTTCAATTGCACAGTATTGCGCAATAGCAAGAAATATCCAATAGCACTATATTGCGCAATAGCAAGAAATTGTCAATTGTACAGTATTGCGCAATAGCAAGAAATATTTAATTGCACAGTATTGTGCAAAAGAAGATACTTCGTATAAATTGCTTATTTCTTGACCAATTTCAATGGGGTTTTATTCTTGAATTCTTGGGGTTCTTTAATATGCTGAATCTAACCGTGTATTTAGTTTTTGGATTTTGGGCCCCGTTTTTAAATTGGTCCACATTGAGGTCCAAAGGGTCCAAAATTAAACTTTGTTTGATTTCATCAAAAATTGAATTATTGGGGTTCTTTGATATGCTGAATCTAACCGTGTATTTAGATTCTTAATTTTTGGTTCCGTTTTCAAATTGGTCTACATTAAGGTCCAAAGGGTCCAAAATTAAACTTAGTTTGATTTTAACAAAAATTGAATTCTTAGGGTTCTTTGATATGCTGAATCTAAACATGTATTTAGATTTTTGATTATGGGTCCAGTTTTCAAGTTGGTCCAAATGGGGGTCCAAAATTAAACTTTGTTTGATTTCAACAAAAATTGAATATATGGGGTTCTTTGATATGCTGAATCTAACCATGTATTTAGATTTTTGATTTTTGGGCCCCGTTATCAACTTTGTCCACATTGAGGTCAAAAGGGTCCAAAATTAAACTTTGTTTGATTTCATCAAAAATTGAATTCTTGGGGTTCTTTGATATGCTGAATCTAACCATGTATTTAGATTTTGGATATTGGACCATAATAGGTGAATGTCCAATTTAAAATTTTTAAGTTCTTAGACCACATTCATTCTGTGTTAGAAACCTATGCTGTGTCAAATATTTAATCACAATCCGAATGCAAAGCTGTATCAAGCTTGAATGTTGTGTCCATACTTGCCCAACTGTTCAGGGTTCAACCTCTGTGGTCGTATCAAGCTGCGCCCTGCGGAGCATTTTATTCTTATACTGTATGCAATAGGTCTACTATATTTGGTGAATGGAATGATTGTAAGGTGTACATGTCTAGCTGGCAGGTGTCATTTGACCTTGACCTCATTTTCATGGTTCAGTGGTCAAAGTTAAGATTTTGAGTTTTGGTCCTTTTTTCTAATACTCTATGCAATAGGTCAACTATATTTGGTGTATGGAAATATTTTATGATCTATATGTCAGTCGCACAGGTTTTACTTGACCTTGACCTCATTTTCACAGTTCATTGCTCAGTGTTAAGTTTTTGTGTTTTGGTCTGTTTTTCTTAAACTATAAGCAATAGGGCAACTATATTTGTTGTATGGAAGAATTGTTAGCTGTACATGCCTGCCTGGCATGGTTCATCTGACCTTGACCTCTTTTTCATGGTTCATTGGTCAATGTTTAGTTTTCTTGGTTAATGTTAAGTTTATGTGACAGTTGTAATAAAGCTTTATATTTAGGACTATCAACATAATATCAATGATTAATAAAGAAGGCGAGACATTTCAGCGTGTGCACTCTTGTTTGTAATGTTAATTTCTTTCTTATTATGAGTAATAGGGTAACTATATTTAGTATGTGCGTACCTTGCAAGGTCCTCATGCCCGTCAGACAATTTTCATTTGACCTCGACCTCATTTCATGGACCAGTGAACTAGGTTAAGTTTTGGTGGTCAAGTCCATATATCAGATACTATAAGCAGTAGGTCTAGTATATTTGGTATATGGAATACTTGTAAGGTGTACATGTCCAACTGGTAGGTGTCATCTGACCTTGACCTCATTTTCATGGTTCAGTGGTCAAAGTTAAGTTTTTGAGTTTTGGTCTTTTTTCCTAATACTATATGCAATAGGTCAACTATATTTGGTGTATGGAAATATTTTATAATGTACATGTCAGTCTCGCAGGTTTTATTTGTCCTTGACCTCATTTTCACGGTTCATTTCTCAGTGTTAAGTTTTTATACGACCGCAAAAATTAAAATTTTTTTGGTGGTATATTGGTATGACGTTGGTGT